AGGGCTTCGGGTTTAGGTCACATGGTCCCCTTTTGGGTGGGCCCGAAACCGACAAGCAAGATGCCGCACTATGACTGGCGGCCCGAAACGGGACGAAAATTGAGGGCACTGCCCCGCGAGGATGGTTACACAGTTTGGGGCTTTACAGGAACCCTAAACCCTCAACCCTCAACCCGCAACCCCCAACCCTCAACCCTCAACCCCAAACCCCAAACCCTCAACCCCAAACCCCAAACCCCAAACCCCAAACCCCAAACCCCAAACCCCAAACCCCAAACCCCAAACCCCAAACCCCAAACCCCCCCAAAAAACCCAAAAAAACCCTAAACCCTAAACCCTAAACCCCAAACCCCAAACCCCAAACCCCAAACCCCAAACCCTAAACCCTAAACCCTAAACCCTAAACCCTAAACCCTAAACCCTAAACCCTGCCCCCTAAATCCTAGACACGTAACAAAAGATCTACCAATCCTAGGAAGCGGAGCGGAGGAAGTGAGTCGATGACAAGCAAGCCCAAAACACGCCGCAGCCCAGCCATGCACAGCCCCAGCGCAACTGTAACCCCTTAAGCTGAGAGTTCATGACCCTAAACCCCAAACCCAAACCCCAGGCCCTAAACTCTTAGACCCTGAAACCCTTAGACCCTTAGACCCTTAAACCCTTAGACCCGTAAACCCTTAGACCCTTCAACCCTTAGACCCTGAAACCCCTTAGACCCTTCAACCCCTAGGCCCTTAAGCCCTTAAGCCCTTAAACCCTTAAGCCCTTAAGCCCTTAAGCCCTTAAGCCCTCCAGCCCTTAAGCCCTCAAACCCTTTAAGCCCTTAAGCCCTTAAGCCCTTAAGCCCTTAAACCCTAAACCCTAAACCCTTAAGCCCTTAAGCCCTTAAGCCCTTAAACCCTAAACCCTAAACCCTGGACCCGCAGAGCCCTTCAACCCTTCAGCCGTCAACAAGCCATCCCTGTCTGCAGGCAATCGCCAAAGAGGAGAGGACTTGCCACCTGGCGGCAGTTGCAAGATGAACTTATAGTGGTCCTGGCTTAAAAGTTTAGGGTTTAGGGTTTAGGGTTTAGGCTTAGGGTTTAGGGTTCAAGGTTTAAGGTTCAGGGGTGCGGTTAAAGTACCCTAAGTATGGTCATAGCCATAGTTTCCCCAACCCGACCCCTCCAAGTACTGGCGGGGTTCAGGGCGTAGGCGTTAAAGTTAGGACGGCCCGAGCTTGAGGGGTTTGGGAGAATCATGGCATGTAGCAAAGAATGGTGCGACGCGTTTGGGGTCTAAATGTGCACCAGGGACCCTTGAAACCCTGCAGAATCCGAAAGCCCCTCACGGCCACAAAGCCCCACAAGCCGTAACGCCCCGCAACCCCTAAACCCTGAGTCCCAGAAGCCCTAGAAGCCCGAATTCAGCCCCAAACCCCCAAACCCCCCCAAACCCTAAACCCTAAACCCCAAACCCCAAACCCAAACCCTAAACCCTAAACCCCAAAACCCAAACCCCAAACCCTGAGCCCTTGCTTCCTCAGGCCTCCGTGGGCTCGCGGCCTACCACCGCGGCAGCGCATGCGCTGAGGCCTGGCCAGGCTGCTGGTTGACTTGTAGGGTTAAGAGGTTTAGGGTTTAGGGTTTAGGGTTTAGTATAGCGGGCAACTAGGACCCAGAGAAGGCCCACATTGCCTTTTTTTTTCTTTGTTTTTTTTTTTTTTTTTTGGGGGGGGGTTCGTTTCCTCTACATTCCCCTGTACCTAGGTTGCGCTTGGGTCTAACTTGAGGTTAACCATATGAAGGGACCATATAACTACCCTTAGAATGAGGGATAAAGCATGTAAGTCGAAGACCTTGTAATTCTTAGCCGGGAGGACATATTCCCTGAGCCTGTGACCCTTAAACACTTAAACCCTCACACCCCCAAACCCGAAAATCAACTCTTCACCCGTTCAACCTCAAAACTGCTTCACCTCAAGCCAAAACCTTATCTGAAACCCCTAAAGCCTAAGCCACCCCTTTCCTTGCACTCTGAAACCCCAAACCCCCTAAACCCCAAGCTGCTCCCCTTTTAAGGGACCATGGTAACTACCTCAAGACTCATTAAAAGAGCCCCCAGAAGGGTACAACCTTTTTCTCGCAAACCCCCATGTGCTTCCACCATCATCATCATCATCATCATCATCATCATCATCATCTCCAGCGGGCCGCTACCATACACGGGTTGCGCAGCCAAAATTAAGAAAATCACACCTCAGCCGGGACAAGGCTGAGCAAAGAATGTCCCAGGGTCTGCCTGCTGCAGTACGTGGAGTAGTTTGTCAAAGGGTTTGGTCCTCTACGCCGGGGGGGGGGGGGGGGGGGGGGGTGGTTGCACAAGGAAGAAGGCTGCCTCCCCAATTTCTTTTAGTTCAAGATGCTCGTCCAAACCGAAACAGAGTGCCGCCCAGCCCTTGCTTCAGCGCCGAATGGTGCTATGGATAAGCAGGCGGATTCGGCAAAGTAGACCTGAGTGCCTCCTGCAGCACCAGCTTTGCATCTCCAAAGTGAGATGGGCTCGCGGGCCCGGTTCCAAACGTGTTGATGCTGTGGCGGTGGTCTGTGAGCCCCCTGGGTGTGGAGGGCCTTGCAACCCTGCATCTTATGTGCTCTGGTTTAGGGTTCAGGGTTTAGGTTTAGGGGGTTGGGTTTAGGGTTTAGGGTTTAGGGTTCAGGGTTTAGGGTTTAGGGTTTAGGGTTTATTTTGTTACCTGCGGTTGGCAATCTGAGCGCGGAGCCATGAACTTGTCCATCAAAGGCATGCCGCCAGCCCATGCGTGAAGACCTCCTAAGCAACGCGAGACCCGAAGCTTACCAACCCTAAACCACAAAACCGAACCTCTCAATTCCTAAACCAACCCTTGTGACGTTGCAGCCCTCCCCTCTTCCGTCGCGCCTGACAGTAGTAGAAGCCCTATAGCCTTCATAAGACCCAGCCCAAGACCTTTCCACAACCCTACGCTCTACACCCTAACAGCCCCAAACTCCAAAGCCTAAGCCCCAAACCCTAAACCCTAAACCCTACACCCTACACCCTACACCCTGAACCCTAACACCTAACCCCTAAACCCTAAACACACATAAGCCCGCAAACAGCCCCTGACATGGGTCCAGCGCTGCCAGACACCCCGAGGGAGGCGCTCGCTAAGGGCTTGAGGAAGATCGAGTCTAGGTTCAAAAACCCCTACACCCTAAACCCTAAACCCCAAACCCTAAACCCTAAACCCTAAACCCTCGACCCTCACCCTAAACCCTAACCCCTAAACCCCAAACCCTAAAGGTGGGTGGGGTGGGGCACTGGGGGGATTTGTGGACTCGCGTCGGTTTAGGGTTTAGGGTCTAGGGTTTGGGGTTAGGTAGGGTTTAGGGTTTAGGGCTTAGGGCCTAGGGTTTAGGGTTTAGGGTTTAGGGTTTAGGGTTTAGGGTTTAGGGTTAGGGTTTAGGGTTTAGGGTTTAGGGTTTAGGGTTTTAGGAGTGGGTTGACACAATTTCCAGCGTCGGCCGTCGGCTTGCAAGCAGGAAACTCCAACCTCGGAGCTGTACAAGGCGGACGGTCGCGGCCAAAGACTCCAAACGACCATGGTGAAGGGTTTGGGTTTAGGGTTTAGGGTTTAGGGTTTCGGGCTTGGGGTTTAGGGCTGTTCAGGCAGTTTCAGGCTGCTGTGTCTATAGGCCATTCGGGGATCCTAGCTGCTTCAACCCGAAACCCTAAGCCCGAAAGCCCTAAACCCTAAACCCGAAACCCTAAATCCTAAACCCTAAACTCTAAACCCTAAACCCTTCTGCAGGTGGTGCGGCAGCTTCGGCCGCTATGGGTGCCGGTGCTCTTCAGTGGCTTGGGTGCTGGGTGGGTAACCTTTAGCCTTTTGGGGCAGTAGAACCCTAAACCCTACACCCTAAACCCTAAACCCTAAACCCTAGACCCTAAGCCCTAAACCCTAAACCCTAAACTCTAAACCCAAAGGTTACCGCTTTTCCCACGGGAAACTCAGCACCTAAGGTGGGGTGAACACCGGCATCAGACGTCCGGCTTGTCCTACATCGGCCGCTCGTTGGAGAACTCCGGAGTTGGGGATCGGGTTAGGGTTTAGGGCTTAGGGTCTAGGGTTTAGTCTAGGGTTTAGGGTTTAGGGACCTATAAGTTGATGATCGTTCTTTTGGGAAATCCCAGACCGCCTTGTAGCAGCCGGGTTGTCACGAGGAGACCCCTCCTAAGCCCTAAGCCCTAAGCCCCAAACCTCAAACCGAAATCCTAAACCCTAAACCCGAAGCCCCAAACTCAAACCCGACTGAAACCCTAAGCCTAAACCGCCCAAACCTAGGATTTCATATAGGGGTCGGAATAATTACCAACAGTATTCCCTCATGGTCCCTGTATAGTTATACCATAATAACCCCGCCAAAACCCAATTACTAGGGTTTAGGTTTTAGGGTTTAGGGTTTAGGGTGTAGGGTTTGGGGGTTAGGTTGGGGTTTCGGCTTCCAAGGCTTAAAACTTCTTCGCCCAGCAGTACACGAGCCTCAGGCCGAGTGTGATGCGGGAGCCCTAACCCTGAACCCTGAAACCCTAAACCCTAAACCCTAAACCCTAAACCCTAAACCCTAAACCCTAAACCCCTAAACCCTAAACCCTAAACCCTCAACCCTAAACCCTAAACCCTAAACCCTCAACCCTAAACCCTAAACCCTAAACTGAACCTTTGTCGAGGGACCCAGATTCCCTTTGCAACCCCCGTAGATCACAAGCCCAGTTGCTTCCGAGGTTGCGGTGGGCGAAGAGTTTAGGGCTTCAGCGTGCCCTGTGATAGGCACTGCTCATGTCCATAGGATGAAGCTTAGGGTTTAGGGTTTAGGGTTTAGGGTTTAGGGTTTAGGGTTTAGGGTTTAGGGTTTAGGGTTTAGGGTAGGACGAAGCCTGCCTATCTCGGTTTGGTCGCGCGCAGGCCAGAAGACATCCGCTGCGAGGATACGCCGCAGATGGACTATTGCCAGGTCTGTTCCTAGGGTTTAGGGTTTAGGGTTTAGGGTTTAGGGTTTAGGGCTTAGGGCTTAGGGTTTAGGGTTTAGGGTTTAGGGCTAGCCGAAGGGAGCATAAGCCGTGAGTCCTGGTAGATGGCGCTGTGGGTTCTTTGGGATGTTGGAGTTATTTCAGCACCCACAACCCCCTAAACCCTAACCCCTAAACCCCTAAACCCCTAAACCCCTAACCCTAAACCCTAAACCCTAACCCCTAAACCCTAAACCCTAAACCCTAAACCCTAAACCCTAAACCCTAAACCCTAAACCCTAAACCCTAAACCCTAAACCCTAAAACATAAACCCTAAACCCTAAACCCTAAACCCTAAACCCTAAACCCTAAACCCTAAACCCTAAACCCTAAACCCTAAACCCTAAACCCTAAACCCTAAACCCTAAACCCTAAACCCTAAACCCTAAACCCTAAACCCTAAACCCTAAACTCCCAGACATGCACCCGTCCAGGCCGCCATCAACGACAACCTTTTCTGGAGCAGCGTTATAGGCAGCGGCCCACAACACTGAGTTGGCACTCTCCCCTTTTGTTGAAGCCCCAAAACCCTAAACCCTAAACCCTAAACCCTAAACCCTAAACCCTAAACCCTAAACCCTAAACCCTAAACCCTAAACCCTAAACCCTAAACCCTAAACCCTAAACCCTAAACCCTAAACCCTAAACCCTAAACCCTAAGGCCTGGGCCCTAAGGGTTCAGGGCGGTGTGCTTGTGACGCTGGTCATGTACAGACTGATAACCATCAAATACGAACATAGAGAAATGCTGGGGAGAAAGTTGAGAGAACACTTGCGAGAAGATTGAGAGCAGTTTCCGACCAATAGGCAGAAAATTGCAAGAAAGCTGCGAGCGTTTCAGGCTCTTTTTGTAATTCTTCCCTAGTTCTAGTTTCTTTTTAATTTCTGGCTAGATTCTTGCTATTCCCCTAGCTAGGTGGGACTTTACTACAACTTTATCACTTTATGAGTTGAGGGTTCCTCTAATGTCATATTAAGGGAGCGAAACGTTAAACTTTTATTGGGGGGGTTAAAGGGCAACCACGCTAGGAAGACCACCAGATCTGAGAAACCAATGGATGTTCGAGAAATTTGCAAGAACTTAATGACCATTATCGGTTTATAGTCCGAAGTATGTGCCCCTTATAACCCTAAACCCTAAACCCTAAACCCTAAACCCTAAACCCTAAACCCTAAACCCTAAACCCTAAACCCTAAACCCTAAACCCTAAACCCTATGCAGCGTAGAAAAGGGGCTCGGTAACAAGGGGCCCAGCAAACAGGGCCCAGGCTTGGAAACCCTAGAGGTGCCCTATGCAACCCCTAGACCCCAAACCCTAGACCCTCAACCCTAAACCCTAAACCCTAAACCCTAAACCCTAAACCCTAAACCCTAAACCCTAAACCCTAAACCCTAAACCCCAAAATCCCAAAACCGCAAACCCCCCAAGACACTTGGAGGAGCTGCGGGATCCTTCCTCCACTTCGCCCTGGGGCCATTCCTGGGAGCTCTAAGTGACTCCATCGGCCGAAGGCCGGTGATCGTGCGCCCTCCTCGGACGCTGGGAGGTTCGCTTTTGGGTACTTTTTAGTAGGGTTTGGGGTTTGGGGTTCGGTTTTTTTTTGAGTTTTTTGAGCTTTTTTGAGTTTTTGGAGGTTTTGGGTTTGGGGTTTGGGTTTAGGGTTTAGGGTTTGGGGTTTGGGGTTTGGGGTTTGGGGTTTGGGGTTTGGGGTTTGGGGTTTGGGGTTTGGGGTTTGGGGTTTGGGGTTTGGGGTTTAGGGTACTTCTGAGTAGGGTTATAAGTTGTTTACTATGACCATAAACCTCATGTCGGGCACCCTTCACCACCCAAGAACCTCCAAGCGCGGGGGGCTGTGGGGTCCAGGAGCTTTCGACTCTGGCTAGGTGAGAATGCCCGGGTTTAGGGTTTAGGGTTTAGGGCTTAGGGTTTAGGGTTTAGGGTTTAGGGCCCCTCCTAGAGCCGGAAATATCTGATAATCGCCTCATGCGGGGAGACCCCCCATATTCGTTTGAGGGCAGCGCCCAGGAAAGCCCCGATCCCACAGCTTCTTGTGAGCTTGGAACAACCTCTAATCCCTAAACCCGAAGCCCTAAACCCTAAACCCTAAACCCTAAACCCTAAACCCTAAACCCTAAACCCTAAACCCCTCAACCCTAAACCTTAAACCCTAAACCCTAAACCCTAAACCCTAAACCCTAAACCCTAAACCCTAAACCCTAAACCCTAAACCCTAAACCCTAAACCCTAAACCCGAAGCCGCTCTGCCAAGGCTCTGCAGCTTGCTGGGTTACCCGAGCCTGCTGGCACTCATGCTCTTTGTGTACAGCTGCTTAGCTGATTCCACCGCATGAGGCACCAAGTTTAGGGTTTAGGGTTTAGGGTTTAGGGTTTAGGGTTTAGGGTTTAGGGTTTAGGGTTTAGGGTTTAGGGTTTAGGGTTTAGGGTTTAGGGTTTAGGGTTTAGGGCAATTATAGGCTTCAGAGTTTAGCGTTGCAACGCTGAGGAAATACCAGCTTGTACTACACCTTTGCCCTTCTGCCTTTGGCAGGCCCAGCCGACCGGTATTGAGTTGTGGGGCTGCGCATCTGCACGTGCAATGCATAGGGTTTTAGGGTTTAGGGCTTAGGGTTTAGGGTTTAGGGTTTAGGGTTTAGGGTTTAGGGTTTAGGGTTGCACGAGACTCTCCTTGCTTGCCCTGCCAGAACTCCCCGTGCTCGCAATTTGGTTCGCTTTCATCGTGGATTTGATGGAGGAGAGATCTGCAGAGGTTGAGTAGTCAGAAAGCCGAACCGCAAGCAGTGATGATGGTTCTTATCGGTTGATCCCCTGCAACGTCGTAAACGGTGATGCGTTCCAAAACGCTGGTTGGTTGTCTCTCAGTGGCAGCAGCAGGCCCCTGCGTTGCTGTCCATGTGTCATCCATCTTCACCAAAATGCTTTTGAGCTGCAGTTGTATGGCCAAAGATAGACCCAAAGCTACCAGCTGCGGTGTAGGGTTTATATAGGGTTTCGAGTTTCGGGTTTAGGGTTTAGGGTTTGGGGTTGAGGTTTTAGGGTTTAGGGTTTACGGTTTTCGGGGCTAGGCTGTAAACGTACCGCACCACAGGACACGCGCGACAGCAGCGTGGCCTTCGGCCTGATTATGGCTGCGGGCCTCCTCTCAACGTGGTGGTCCCAGGAGCATGTAAAGTATGGAGTGGGCATCCGTTGGGCCCCGATCCCCCAAACAACGAATACTAGTAAGCAGGGTCATATGTTCCACGTACCTTACATCGGGGTAGAATCATAGCTACCTGACTTAGAATCCTACCTTTCCGAAAATAAGGGTACCCTTTTTTAGGGGTCCCTTTTAATGGGATTCGATCCCATTGGACTGTAAACGGGTTACCCCTTTTTTTGGAACCCTAAACCCGAAACCCGAAACCCGAAACCCCAATACCCACCTAGAAGTTCCCCCATCAAACCTCCGAGTACATGGCTCAGGATGGTGGGCACGGGAATTGGAGCGGCGCTGTCGCTCAAAGCAGGCCATGCACTCAGGGTTGAGGGTGGAGGGTTTAGGATGTAGGGTTTAGGGTTTAGGGTTTGGGGTTTAGGGTTTAGGGTTTTAGGAATATCTCGACCTATCAGGCACAGGCACATGCATGGAGATAGAGCAGAGCCAGTTTGGGTTTGTACTTTCTGATTCAGATCGCTCTTGGAGTGTTTGGCCTTTGCCTTTTTGCCTTGGCCTAAGATGAGTGTATATATATATATCCATCTATATATATATATATATGTACAAAGGTGTCCTTTTTAAATTCTTACTTCACGTGGGAAGTGGCGGACGAAGAGCTTGTTTAGTTGCCATCCAAGGGGCAAAAGGAGAGGCCCTGATAAGGAACCTTAGGGGTACTTTAGGGGTTTGTTAGGGGCTACTTAGGTATCTCGGGACCATTCTATACATATATGTATACATATATATATATATATATATGTATACATAGAAACATATATATATATATGTACATATATATATATAGGAAGAACTTCTGTAGTTCCATCATGCCTGCGAGTATCTGCCATACCGGACGAACATCATGCCGGCGTGGCTGTCGGATGCTGTCCAAGACGTAGCTGTTGCAGAGTTGTGCGAGCCACACCACACCGTGAGCTAGCTTGGTCCAGACTCTCTGACTCCACCTGGGTGTGCTAACTTGGAGGTTCATGGTAACTATTTGTAACTGTACTTAAAACCCACTTATACGCCCCTTAGATGGTACTTAGTAACCACTTATACCTGTACACAGGTGTGCTTGTCATGGCCTTCAACAGCGTCGTGATACTCCTGCCATATCTGGTCGGGATCTGAGAGAAGCTTGGGCGCAGAGGGCTGTTTAGAGAACATTAGCCCTAAGCCCTAAACCCTAAACCCTCCCTAAGCCCTAGGGGCCCTAAGGTGTATGCTACCATTGAAGCAGCAAGGGGTCCCCTGACTCAGAACAACCCCCCCACCCCCACCCCCCCACCCCCCACATCCAATCCTGAGTGGAGTGGATTGGCGTTTCGCGTGTCAACGCCATCTTTAACCCTAAGCTCCGAAACCCTCAACCCTAACCCCGGCCCTAAACCCTCAACCCTCCTCAACCCTCTTCAACCCTCCTCATCCCTCCTCACTTCATCCCTCCTCAACCCTAACCTAACCTTTTTAACCCTAAACCCTCAACCCTAAATCCTAAGCCCTCGTGGTTCAGAGGTTTGCTTCCTTCCTGAGCCCGGGCCCGAGATCTGCTCCACACATCAGAAGCTTGAAGGGTCCTACCTGGAGGTTCATAAGGGTACTTATAACTAGGGTTTAGGGTTTCGGGTTTAGGTTTTGGGATTTAGGATGTGGGATTTAGGATTTAGGATTAGGATTTAGGGTTTAGGGTTTAGGGTTTAGGGCTTAGGGCTTAGGATATAGGATTCAGGGTACTTATAAGTAGGGCTGGAAGTAGGGCAACTTGGGGTATAATTTTATTTAAAACTTATCACGCATGAACCTCCAAGTAGAGGTGGAGAAGTGATCGCTCGCTGAGACCGAAACGCAGCCCTGAAGCCCCCAATCTTTGCCCGAACCCCAGATTCAGATTTGCCAGCATTGTAGCCAGTTCTTGCCCTCTGGTCACGATAAACCCTAAACCCGAAACTCTAAACCCTGAACCCTACACCCTAAACCCTAAACCCTAAACCCTAAACCCTAAACCCTAAACCCTAAACCCTAAACCCTAAACCCTAAACCCTAAACCCTAAACCCTAAACCCTCTGTGTCACGCTTACGAATCTACTTGATGGATCAACCCCTGGGCCAGTATCAGGAGACCTCCCGAAAACCTGAACTTCCCAAACCTCTTTAAACCCTTACACAACTAGACCCCTAAACCCTCTAAACCCTCTAAACCCTCCAAACCCTCTAAACCCTCTAAACCCTCTAAACCCTCCGAACCCTCTGAACCCTCTAAACCCTCTAAACCCTCCAAACCCTCTAAACCCTCTAAACCCTCTAAACCCTCTAAACCCTCTAAACCCTCCGAACCCTCTGAACCCTCTAAACCCTCTAAACCCTCCAAACCCTCTAAACCCTCTAAGCCCTAAAAACCCTCTAAACCCTCTAAACCCTATAAACCCTAAAACCCTAAAAACCCTAAACCCTAAACCCATCAAACCCTAAACGTAGCCTCGGCTTCGTGACGACCCTAAACGTCGCCTCGGCTTCGTGAGGACGCTGCCGTCCACCAGGCGCCAAGCGCTGAGGTGTGCGTCCGCCGCTCCAGGATTGGGCCTGGGTGACCTGGTGAAGCAAGGAAAAGGGTTAGGGTTGAGGGTTGAGGGTTTAGGGTTTAGGGTTTAGGGTTTAGGGTTTAGGGTTTAGGGTTTAGGGTTTAGGGTTTAGGGTTCAGGGTTTTAGGGTTTTAGGGTTTTAGGGTTCAGGGTTCAGGGTTCAGGGTTCAGGGTTTAGGGTTTAGGGTTTAGGGTTTAGCCATACCTTCAGAGCATCACAAACGGGCAGCTTTTGCAATGCTCAGATCAGCTCGAACTTTGCAACACAGCGCACCTGAGGGTTCTAAGGATTCAGGTTCAGAGCTGCGAGCAGAGCCCCATCTGGGCGGCTGTCAAAATTAGGGTCCCTTTTGGGGTACCTTAAGTTTAGGTGCCGTACTATAATTGGGATCCAAACAGGGACCATGATTTTGACAACCACCCATATGACTCTGTCACTTTCATTTTGAGGCCGGCCCATCTCCTGTAAACCCTAAACCCTAAACCCTAAACCCTAAACCCTAAACCCTAAACCCTAAACCCTAAACCCTAAACCCTAAACCCTAAACCCTAAACCCTAAACCCTAAAACCCTCTTCCATGCTTGATGAGCCGAGGTATCCTAGCACGCCAGGCCCCGAGTCTTTGCAGCCCATGCAGAGGTGACAATGGGCCGGGCCACACATGCCGCTGTCTGCTCCTAGCCTAGCTGTTCAACGCACATCTCAGTTCAGTTCAGGCAGCATGAGCAGGCTGCAACTGTATCTCATTCCGGCATCGCTTAGGAAACGCGCTGTTTGTGCAGCTGTCGACTTTGGTGCCTTAGCTGCAGCTGCTGCTGTGATTGCGACCTGAAAAAGTAAATTGGCCCGCACGCGAAGCAGCCCTGCATGAGCCGAAGCATCGCGCTGGCATATCATGATACTATCATGCCAGTATTGTCCATGATTACATCATTACATCATCAAAGATGTTATTGCACTGTATTGCAGTTTAACTACAGTATTGCATGATTGCACTATTGCAGTATTCCATTCTTACACTTTTACATTCTTAAATGATTACATTCTTAAATGATTACATTGCTGCAATATCACATCATTACATTATTACATAATTACACTACTACACAGTATTCCACTATTACATGATTACATGATTACAGTAATACATTATTTCGTTACTGCATTTCACATCATTACAGTCTCACATTATTATTGCATTTTCAGTTGCATGTTTACAATACAACATTATTTCATTGTTACATTATGACGTTATTCCATTATCACATTATCACTTTATCACCTTATCACGTTATTCCATTAGGACGTAATTACATTATTACATGAGTTCAAGATTATATTTTCACTGCAGTATTACATTATTATTACACTATTACATTGTTACATCATGGCGATGTGACATTACGATCTGACATTATGACATGATGACATTGTGACATTGCGACACTATGACATTGTGACGTTATGACATTTGTGACATTTTGACACTATGACATTGTGACATGATGGCATTATGACACTAATGCAGAATCACATGAAAACATGATTACATGTTTGCATTAGTACGTTAAGTTCAGTAGTACATTGTTACTTTACAGCCATATCACATCCATACATTTTTGCACGATTACGTCATCACATTGTTGTGGCATGATTATGTTTGTATTGCAGTATTATATGACTTCTCTTGAACTGTTGGGTGCCATGAACCAGTGAGACCAGCCAGGTCATCGGCAGCACGTTTATCGGGAACGGCTTCCAGCGGGTCAGCACAAGCTTTCTGCAGACACTTGCCCTTACTGGCCCCCAGGTGGGCTTAAAGAGGGTTTGGAATTTCCGACGTGGCAACTGCGACGACGCAGCTGAGGAAGTATGTGCACTGGCCCAAATCCAGCAACAACCTGGCCATAGCCATTGCTACTTGGTAGCCCATTGGTACACTTCTCCCTTTTTTAGTTCTGGTTCCCTTATAAAGT